ATATATATATATATGTATCTTTAACTACCTGCTTCTGTTGAGAATTTACTGTAGCAATATGCAGATGGTGGAAGGCGATTATGATTTGCTAATGGCCTCATTTTAAAACTGCAATAATACATGCTATTTTTGGCAAGATGATTGCTGGTCCTGAAACGTTTGTATAAGTTTTTAACGGCGCAGTGTGCCTATCTAATTACTTGCAGAAAAAAATGGGGATGCAGACACAGTGTTCAGTGTAGTTCTGGAGCCTTTGGGTTTTTGTGTTCGAGTTTTCACTGCCAATATCACAATCTGCTTTTGTCTCTCCCCTCACCTTAGTATCTAACAAAGCAACAAGAGCAGCAGAGGAAGAACTGCAACAGATTTGAGTCTAGTTATATCTGAAGAACAAATGTGCCAGAGTTGCTGTTTAATTTATACCAGATAATGTTAAACAATGTGTGACATATAGGACTCGTTTTCCCATTTATATGAGTATCTGAAGAGGTTCAGTTTTTTGGGGCTGGTAGTGATGTTCTGTCATTCCTTGACCCCAAATAAGTAATTTGGAAGCAAGATGTAGAGTGAGCAGATTCAGCTTTAAAAACTAGGCCTTTCTTTTGACATTTACTATTGCAGCATTGATGTTGATGTATTGTAAGAAACCAAAACTATTTCATGAGTCTGATGTGCATCTAGAAATGGGGATGTTCTGGTTTTTTTTCTTTTTTGGTAGGTTCGAGAGGAGGAAAAAGATCCTGTCTACTTGTACTTTGAAAGCTTGATGACTTGTGCACGGGTCCGGCCATATGAACACAGGAGAGGGGAGCAAAGGCAAGAAAAAGACAAAAGTGATTCACAGAGTTCTAGCGTCAGGGTAAGAAGTTATACTGTAACTAGCACGTGTCATACAACAGGCAGAAATTCTGAAAACCTTGAAGTAACTTTTTCCCCAAAAACTCCTAGGCAATGTAAGGGCTTGACTTACATTTGGGGGTGATAGGGCTGTGGAGCCTGGAGCCTAAATCACCTCTGGCGAGCTTATCCTGTTACTGTGATAGAAGTTGTCTTGGTTGTGACATTTCTTGGCTGCCAAGCACATTATCATGTAAGGCTTAAGTGTCAATTGGCAAAAGAGCTGTTCCAAGATGAAAATTCTGACTTTGTCAAAGTTAGCACTTGTCTTATTATTCAGGGTGTCAGTATGAAGAACTAGTTTATTTTGTGATGCAGTTTTTTAGTATAGAAGAGGGATATGGAGGATGAATATTTTTCTTACGTTTCTTTGCTCTTGCAGGAACATGAACCAGAGCTTCAGTCTTCTGAGAAAGCAACCTGTGAGGTAGACAAAGACACTGATAAGTCAAAAGGTAAGAGCAGAGTCTTTAGTATAATTCAACCTCTTGGTAGTTCCACATTTTTGTGGGGTTTTTGTGTTTTCTTTATTTTTTTTAAAAAAAGTTGCAGCTGTTAATGAAATAAAAGTCCGTTTGCTGGGGGAGTTGTTCTGGTTATCAATAAAAATCTTACAATGTGCTTGCAGTTTCTTGTTTTCTCAAGCAGCCGTGTGTGTGTCATGTGGGAGATAGAGCAGACTAAAGACCCAGTATTCACAGATTAAAATGACCAGTTTTACAGTAGTTTGTTAAGCAATTAAAGTTAATACCTCACAGCAGACTTGCCTTCAAGAGTGATAATTAGATACTTGGGAAGGAGTGGAGATCACTGGTTTTGGTTTGCCTGTTGTTTGGGTTTGGGTTTTTTTTTCTCCCCTCTTTTTTTTTTCCTCACCATTACTTTGTAGTTATTGAAGCATTGATAAATATCCAAGTGGTGCTGTGAGGATGGGATCCTCCTGTTCTCCACGTAGAACCTTACGGGACAAGGAAGCGCCTGTAATTTATTTGGAGTTGTTTGATGTTGAATTCTTTTAGTTCATGTTGCAAGGTTGAATTGAAGCTTTGCTACATTATATATACTGGGTTGGAGCTTCTAGTTCATAAGTAGGCTAGACATCTGTCTTCTTCAGTCTGAAGCGGCCTGAATCATGTAAAGAACTTTAAAGTGAGACTTATACTAGGGGTACTGTGTCATCCACGAATGAAATACAGCTGCCTTTTTGGGCTGGATTTTTTCCCTGTTTAATGCATACAACAGCGCACTCTACATTTAAGGATGAGAATGGAAAAATAAACCAACTAGTTGAAAATGATGGTGATTTGGTAGGTGAAATTAAAACGGCCAGGACACAGGGCTCAACATCCTTACAGTTTTGCAAAAAGTGACGTTGGATCTCTAATGACAACAAAAGGTCATGCTTCTGTTACACCTCTGCTGCAAGAGACCGTTCCGCTAGCGGCACGCTTCCCTCTCATGCCATTGTAGGACACTGGTCCTGTTCTGACTCCCAGAGAGAAGTGCCATCTCTTGAATAATCAGCGATGCTTTCTACTGCATCTTGGTGTTGCTTGGAGATTTTTCATCCATGTACTGAAACACGGGTGGAGGTGTGGGCAGAATAAAACTGTTTGAATATCCAGGTGATTAAAATGCCATAGTATTGCAGAAACCTATTTCAATTCTTTCTCAGAGAAAAGCTGGTGGTCTTCCCATAGTGAGGGGGACTCTTCTTCCACCTCCTATGCTCATCACACCACTCCAGGTGGACCAACCAAACTTGTTGAGATTATCTCTGACTGCAGCTTGGAGGAAGATCAGAATAGGATCTTGACCATGTTATCACAGCACAACAACAGTAACACGCCACGGTGCCTCAAGGATGAACACGAGGCCCAGGATGAGAACCACCCTCCTGTCTGCTCCTCCAGAGTGGCAGTTTCAGTGCCGTCCTGCCAGGAGGAGGCCGAGGACGAGACGCCTGAGACACCTGGCTTGGAGGCTCCTGGTGGCGGAGTGCCGTCCTGCAGAACCCCCGAAAATGTAACGCTCTTGCGGGCAGGCGCAGTGGCCGAGCTGCAGGAGAAGCTGCATGGGGGCAGGGGCTTGCCTTTCTATGCAGGGCTTTTTTAGGAATGCTGGTCGTCTACAGACGCAAAGATGATAGGAGACACTCAGGCTTGATTCAGGTGGGTCCCTCTGCCTTTACTGTGGAGATTAGATTAGATTAAGTCATCCAGTATCCCAGAGCTACTTGAAGGGGAGAACTCTCTTTGATTTGTCTGTGTAGTCTTTTGCCTGTCCAGACAGGGATTCTTGGTGTGTAGTGGCATCCCTGCCTCTCCCTAAGCTTGTTCCTTTCAAGATCGACTCAGTTACAGGAGTTCTGATTGGAATTGTTAAATCTGGTGGTTTAGCTTGTCCTTTTGGCCATTTGGCTCTTGGTGGCCCAAGTACAGAATCTTTCAGCATCCTTTTTTGTGCTTTGCAAAACTCCCTGGAGATGCATTCAACAGCTAATACTTCTAAATGAATGGCTGTTAGAGGTCACATCAAGAACTTTCTCTGAGGAAGCGTACACTGGGACAAAACTGTAAAATGAAACTGTGAGCACTAAATTGCTTTTTACTACAGTTCACTATTAATCTTCACTAATAGCCTGCATCCTTTTTGCAGAATATATGTTGTTCATCAAGAGACTTGATGACATGAAGTTCAGAGTGAGTCCTTTCCCTGCAGTTTCGTGCTGCCAGCTTGATGTTGCGAACTGGTGGTAGGAGCTGTAGGACTAGGGTGAGGATTTTACTTCAATCAACTCTGTTTGTGGTTACAGTAGTAACACTTTCAGGGCAGATGTATGAATCAGAATATGTGAGTAAAATTTGTTTTCATGACACTCTGCAGATACAGCACCCTCAGAAAGAGAAGCTAGTGGGGAGAAAAAATGTAGGGGGAGATTTCTTATTTTTAATATAGTTGATCAATAAAAAGAGTCAAGACCTTATTTAGCAGCATGTTCAATGTATTTGGATTTTAGAAGGTATTACTGAGCAACGTGAAAGTAAAATGCAACACTACCAAAACTTCCTGTTGAGTACTAGACGTAAAGCCTGACATTCAGAAAGATGTTCTGGTTTTAATGTCCCATGCAGTGAGTTACCACTATGATTCTGGCTTTGAGGGTACTCAACTCATCATACCTGGATTCCAGTATCAAATGACAATGGGGATAGGAAAAAAAGAGTAAAGCTTTTACAGGCTCTTGAGAGTTTTGTCCCAATGTATATGCCATAAATATTTTTATGATGCTAGGTGTTCATTAGGTTTGAGAATTTTATGCAACACTGTCTTCAAATTTGGGAGCCCATTTTTATTCAGGGCTGTAACATAAGTAAGGGACAGGAAAAAGAAGTGCTAGCTTCATTCTGATTTCAGTGATGTCACATGCTTCTTTGGACTCTGTGGTTCTGTGTGACAGTCTTGAGTAGTATAAAATAATTCATATTGCAAAGACACAAGAAGGTTCTTTGAAGTACTCCTGGGCAGTAAGGAAATGAGGAATTCCCATTCTGAATTGCAGTGTTTTTTTGAAAAAGCTACTTAGAAGTCCCATGGAATGAAACGCCTCTCCAGAGGTGGTGAATTAGCATTCTTTTCACAAGATTTCCCTTTTCCACTTTTTTCAGGTTAATGATAAAAGCTATCCTCAGGCCAAACTGCTTTTGGGACAGATGGGGGCATTACATCCTGCCAGTCGGCTAGCAGCTTATATCACAGGCAGGCTGCAACCCACAGTACTTGATACCTCAACCCTCAGTACTGTGATCACCAAGGTAGCATCCAATGCTAATGCATCTGCTTCTGGGACACCATCAGTCCAGGTGCCCACAACATCAACTCCCAAAACTACATCTTCCACCAGCACTACTTCAACCCCCACTGTGACGACTCTGAAAATCCATGTCCCAGCACAGAGACAGATAGGTAGGTTGGAACTTATTACTGTTTTAAATTGCGTGAAGCTGAAGTCAAAAGCGAGTGTACAGCCTGGCTGTTGATTCCTCTGCAGCAGTGTCTGCTGCCTTGGGCTGTATTGCCCACCTAAACTGCCTCTGCAATATGTAACCTCTTTAAAGCAGAAACTTTTATTTTGACTTCAGAACGAGATTACAGATGTTGACTGTTATTTTGTTAATGCTACTAGAGCATATTTTGGAGAGACAAGGAAGAGTGGATGGACATACGCTGAATGTTAGGCTTGGATTTTTGTTCTGAGGGTTTCCTTGCTATGATTTTTAATTGCTTTTCATCAAACATAGTTTTAACTTTAAATGAGTAAAGGATAACTCTAATCTGTGGTTCTTCAGTGTTAGTTTTGATGTTGCACTTGCAATTGGAATTCTTGTGGCCACCAAAGATGCGTGAAGCAGCAGTGAAAGACAAGATGGTCCAAATCTGTATTAGTGACACAACAGGGGTGCAGCCAGTAACCACACCAGCCTGTAACCTCATTGGATTTCACAAGCTAAACAGGGTTGGACTTAGCACTTTGAGATAAAAAACTAAACACAACACCCCCCCCAAGTATCAGAAGAAGCGTGTGGTACTTGTGTCTGAGTTGGTACTGAAATGGTTACCCCAGCATGGCAAGAGAAGAAGTTGCCTCTAGCTATTACATTTCGCATGACTTTAAAACAAAAAACTAAAATATCTAATGCCCATCCACATATTCCCACACAGTAATTAAAGATCTGAAGAAGCTTTGAAAGAGAAAAGGATGTTACCTGTGTCCTGGCAAAACTTTTTAGAGTTCTGATTGGTTGTTTTATTTATTTCCGCCTGAATTTTCATTGCCATGTAAATGAGTGTGTTGTTTTTCTCATCCTGTAATAAAACTTCTTGGCTTATGTGTTCATGCAATATTAAAGAGCTGGCTGCATTTTATTGGTGGGTGAAATGACTGTTGCTTATATGATTTAAGCGTTCTACCATATTCTGGGTTAAAAATACTGTATGCATAAATAACTACAATATTTAAGCTTGCTCCAAAATCTCTGTGCTGTTGTACTCATCTCTGGGCATCTGGAGTGATGTAGATGTAGGATTCTAGTATCTTTGAGAGTGAGAGAATTACTTCCCATTGGTTAAATTTGTTCTGTCTAGTTCTCAGTTGCATGAATGCCACCCACTGTGGTGAGAAGGGGACATGGCAGACTCCATCTCCCTCCCACTGCTTTCCCCCATGGCTGTGTAAGATGTGGATACAGTAGAAAAGGGGATGAAAGCCAAGAAGCAGTGAAAAGAGGGTTGCAGGAAGAATTTAAGGTTTAGAAAATAGTTTGAGCCCATTATTTCACTTAAGTGTTTTGTTTTCCTGTACTGTAATTAGAAGTATCTGCTCATAGTTCCATGATAAAGAACAACCCCTCATAGCCTGACTCTTTTGTGTGGCCAAGGAGAAATGCAACAAAAGCTACAGAAGTGGAGTAAAGCAGACATTTCTAATATGTAAGGTGTGTTCAGGACTTCATACGGGTTTTAATTTTATGACAAGGTACAAGGAAAACGGAGGCTCAGATCTGTGCTGAAATTAGGATTGTAGCACCTCATGAAAGGCAAAGAGGAAATTTGTTCAGGTTTTGACCTGTAAGTTTTTATTTGCAGCTGCCCGACCCTCACCCGGTGGCGTGTTCGCACAGTTTGTGTTCAACAGTGCGGGAAACCTGCGGCAGATTCCTCTGAAGAGCACGTGCCTGCCTTCATCATCAGAGCCACAGAAGCTGGGTGTCAAGCCTACGCCAGTAATGGTGGTCGTTCCCCCCCGGCCACCCCCAGCTCAGTGCACAGTCTCTCCTGGAGTCACTACAGCCACCACTGCTTCTCCAGTTCCTGTGGAAAGTACCAGTGTGGCAGCACTTGTCGTGGCCACTCCTAGCCAAACAGCTAATGAACCTGCCTGTTCTCCTGCAGTCACAGTCACAGTGGCTCCTGCAACAGCTACAGTCAACACCTGTCCTGCTCCCTTGTCCACCACTGTGAACATCACAGCAGCCACAGGGGTTGTTGCACCAGTGGCGACCGTGTCATTCCCTCAAACTGTGATAACGCCACCAACCGTTACTTGTCCTGTTGTCACAACATCCACTTCTACAGTTGTACTGACAACAGCTGCAACAGCTACAGTGGCTACAGCTGTGGTGACCACACCAACTTCCTCTGCCAGCTCTGTTCCAGTTCTGCTGCCCGGAGTTAATTCAGGTCCTTCACTGAATCCAAAAAGAGGTAAGGCTTAGGTGCTTTGGGCCATTACTGTAAACATTGCCCTTTTTTATCATGCCTCCTTTGTAGCTAGGCAGGCTGCAACTGGAGAACCCAATTTAAATACAGCTTCACTTGCCTCACTCTTCTTTCCAAAATAGGGTAAGAGATGTAATCCCTTAAATTGCCTGGTTTATTCCAACCTGAGCGGGTAGAGGAGGAAAACAGCATAGCTGTCTGGTCAGTGGCTGCTTGAAATGAGCTGGAAGCCTCACACCATTTCTTGGCCCATAGAAATGGGTAGCACAATAATGACTGCTAGAATTTTAACAGTTAGCATAGAGTCCAAGAAGCAGGTTTGGAATTACTCTCTCAATTCTAACATGGAAGTCTTCTGAATCATGAGAAGATGAGAAATGAGTTGAGAAATGTCAGTGGAACTGCATGAAAGACTCTCCTGGCCTGGTTGGGTCTGTGTGTGTTCTGTGAAGAAAAAGGAAGAAAACGCTTTCAAACAATTTAAAGACATCCATTGTTTTCCATCTATTTGTGCTTGTTTCCATTAAGGATAATGCCTGTTTTATAGGCTGCTCTCTTAAGCTGATTTTTATGTAACTTTTTGGATGTTTCAGAAGATGCTATTCCACAAGCTATAAATAAGACTTCTCCTCAGAAGATGTCTCCTGGAACAGAGAAGCGTTTGGGACCCCGATTGCTGCTGATCCCAGTGCACCAGACGTCTCCCGCCCTGCGGCTGCTGAACAACACGCCGCAGACCCCGAAGCAGAGGATGGTCCTGCAGCCCCTCAGGAGCCCTGGTGCAGTGAACCTCTTCCGACACCCCAGCGGGCAGATCATCCAGCTTGTCCCCCTGCAGCAGTACCGAGCTCCAGGCGCCCAGCCCAGCGTGCCGCCCGTGGCGCTCCGCAACCCCGGTACCCAGCCCAGTGTTTGCTCTTGCCTAACCAGTGTGTTACTCAGAGATCAACAGCGTGATTATAGTCTCTGTGATGCTCCTTTCCCCTGCCAGAAGCAATTTGACAGTCTTAACTTGGTTCTGCATGAGTGAGAAGGACATAGTGTGGTTACTCAGGCCATAGTGTGGTTACTCAGATACAACGCAACTTGAATACCTTGCATCTAAATTACAAGTGCCATTCATAGCTAATCCACCAGAATTTGGGAGTTCTGTGCAGCAAGTAAGGGGGCGCTGTGTATGTGTGTCTGTGTGTGTGTGGCAACAGAGCCATGTCCCTTCTGCTGCCATAACTTAAATTTTGTTGATCTGGTGATTCAAAAATAATTTTTTTGGCCGTTCTCTTAAAAAGAGTTACCTGTGTCTCGTTGGATGTGCTGCTCTGGTTTTGTTTGCAGGTTTGTTAGTGTTTTTACAGCAGGTGCTGAGATAAAATGTTACACTACAGTACAAAATCAGTGGTTTTTTTCCTCCATAAAGTGTGAGAAGAAAAATAAGATTTTCAGGTGTTTCTCTCGTGCATAGTTGAAGACAGGGTTGGGAGAATTAGAAATTGCAGGTCTCTGACAGGAGGTAGGATGGCTGTTGAGCATGCTGTTGTACATGTTTATAAAGATGTTTTATTTGTAAATAATACCTTAAATACACATTTACTTTACAGCAGGATTTTTCTTATGTTCTCCCTTTATAAAGAAGCATCTTGAGGAGAGGGAGGCTCAGTGGTGTTGAAAAGAGAGAGGCGAGAGCAAGTACAATAGATGACAAAACTATGGGGTGGAGAGAAAATAATCCTGTGTCTTAGCTGAGGTTTGAGCATGAGTTGTAGCGAAGAATCGGTCAAAAAATTCATTGAATTCTTTTCTGGTTTGGGTCTTCTGCTGTGCAAGAGAAACTAGTTGCCAGTGGTAATATTTTTTCCTCATTTTGCAGAGTTCTGAAATGCTGCAGAAGAGTTTATTAAGGTGAAAAAGGTCTTGTCATAGTTTTTCTTTGTGGAAGAACTTGTGAGGAAAAAAAAAATGGAATTTGAAATTAATTATTTTACAGGAAAGTGAAATGCAGAGGACTTTAACTAAATGCAATGTCTTTTGATTAAAAAATCTTGATGCTGGAACTTGCAATTAAATCTGTTAGCTTTAGAGTAGGCACCTCATGTATTTTGTTGGGTTGTTCCATATAAAAATGGAACAGTCTGTATGTCTTCATGCAGTACCAGCTCTTTCACTGAGAACCTGTCAAATACCTGACATTGTGATCCTTGAGAATGCTGGCAGCTTCTAGAGCAACATCAAATACTAAAACTAAAAGAATAAAATTACTCTGTGGAAATACTATTTGGTTTCTTGTTTTCTCACAGGGCCTGTTGTAGGAGTCCGGCTGCCTGCACCTTCGAAGCCTTCCGAGGCGCCTGTGTCTCCTGCTTCCTCTGTGTCTTCCACTCCTCCTGCCACAAATTCAACTGCACAAACTGCAGTACCCAAGTTGTCCCCTACATCTGCTGTAACCACTCAAACATCTTCTCTTCTTCCTTCAGTGACAAATTTGGTGTCACAGGCTGGCACTCTGACTCTGAGGATCTCTCCTCCTGCTGCTAGCAGCGTGACAAGTCAACCAACCTCTGAGTCTAAAATAACCTGCAGCTCAGGTGCTCTGCCAGCTACTGCTGCTAATCTCATACCTTTACAGTCTGGGAGTTTTGCTTTACTGCAGCTCCCGGGACAGAAGACTGTACCAAACTCCATTCTTAACCATTTTGCATCTCTTCAGAGGAAGAAAGATTACAGGAAAATCTGCAAGAAAGAGGACTCGGGTGCTGCTCAGCAGAAGGAGGATGGGAAAGCTTCCCACTCAGATGACGTTGAAGTTGCAGAGCCTGAGGTCACAGTGTCAGATAGGAAACAAGAGGAAAACGAGTTGTCAGTTCAGCAGTCAAATGATGTTGAAGAGTCAGCATCTGACATGATCACACCTGTTAGAAATTCCACCCCATTGGAGATGGTGGAGAAGGACTCAAAGGTGCTAGAGAACTCTTGTGGTGAGAGCTCTTCTCAGCAGGATGTTTCAGTAGATGTCGTGTCATCTGACCATTCGTACATCAGTGAGAAGCCTAATGATGAGCAACAAAAAGAAGCTTCAGAGGAGAAAGAGGGTTCTGTCAGTTCTGAAACTCTACCAGAGGCTGTTTCAGCTAACTCTGAAACTGTTTGTGGATCATCAGCTCAGTCTCTAGTTGCTCCGATGGGTAATGGACAGTCACAGGGTCTTGAGAGTCAGGAGAGTGTGCAGTTGAAGAACCACGGAAAGGAACAAATACATCCTGTGCAGGAGGAGAAACCAGTAAAAGAGGAGGAGGAGGATGTGCAGACACAGATGAAAGAGGACAACAACACAAGTTCTGGGCAGTCACAGAGTCAAAAAGAACAAGATCTGCAGCCAGAGAAGAAGGAGGAGCAGAGAGGGACTGAACTGTCCCAGAACAAACAAGAGTGCCAGCATGATGGCGTGCAGTCAGATGTGGAGAGCAAGGACAAGGGCTCTGCAGAAGCAGAAAGCATAAGAGAGAGGAAAGGAAGCCAGTGTGAAAAGAGTTCTGCAGAAGAGCAGGATAATGCTTCAGGAGAGCACACTGTCAATGCTGAGGAAAGCAAAGCAAACGTCGCTAGGCAGGAAGGCAGTGACAACAAAGAGCAAAAGGCTTTTCAATCTCAGGAAGAAATGAAAATGGGTGATGATATTGTAACACATGTCAACAGTTCTTGGAGCAAAATATCCAGCATCATACCCGCTTTGGAAAATAAAAGCGAGGTGGAGAACAAAGCTGATACAGCTGAGAAAAGCAAGTCAGCAACACCAGATGAGAGGGTGCAGGAACACAGGTATCACAAAAAGGGTTACCTGCCCACTGTTGATGTAACTGCTGATGATACAGAAGAAGATGATGATGATGACGACGATGATGATGATGAAGAGGATGAAAAAACTGACGATTCTGCTGATGAGATGCTGGATGGTACTTCAGACTTCCCAAGTGAAGAGGAAATAGATGTTGAAAAAGTGGTAAGCTTTTAAATATTTATGAAGGGTTGTAGAGGTTTTTTTTGTTTTTGTTTTTCTTTTTTTAAAATTGACTAACTACATGTGTCACACCCTGTGGATTTGAAAGATGCAGTGTGATGTTTGTGTTTTGGACTTAAGTTTCTTTAGAAAGTTGAGATTGGGATTCCAAGTGGAAATGTCTTTTATTTCTCCACAGTTGCATGCTTTTTTTATAGGAAGCATTTTAGTGGCCTCTTAGAAATTGTCTGTTTTTTCAGGTAATGGGAGATACACTGAGCAAGCTGTAATAGAGCTGTTGCATGTTGTCTTCCTCCAGGATTTACTCAAGCTACTTGATTCCTTGTAATAGGACTTACCATCCTAAAATGTAGCAGCCAATCTAGTATTTCTGCTATTTTAAGCTGTTTCCTTCTACTTAAATGTTAACTAAAGGCTACAAAAGCTATTTCTGTTTGAATCTCTCCTTAAATTCCCCTTGAAATCTAGTACCTGTCAGTACTGTAAGCTGTCAATCCATATTTCTTAGAAGACAAGTTGATCTGGAAGTCACTGAATAAGGGTAAAACCCTGTGGTTAGGATAGTTAAGATATGTTTAGATTTAATGCTCATAGAATTTCCATCAAATGTCACCCCCAAATATAGAATTTCCATCAAATGTCACCCCCACATTAGAAGATAACAATCCTTCATAGGATTCCTTGAGGTACTTTTTATTATATCAGTATGTGACTTAAGAAACTTGACTTAAAATGTATCAAGTTGTGATTTTGTGAGTCGGTGGAATGGACAAAAGAAGCAAGGCAGCCTTTTCTAAGGGATGAGGTAGAAGTGGAAAGAGGGTGAACTGGAGAAGAACTGAGCAAAGAAATGAAAAGTAAGAGAGATTATGTTAAGTGTCTTCAGGTATTTGAGAGTAACAACATAGTTCTTTTAGCCCTTTTGTGTTAACGTAGCCCTCTTGCAGTTGAAAACCAAATCAGACTTGTTTTTCTTCTAACCACATCCAGAGTAACTCAATTAAGTCAGCAGCTCTGGGTTTTAGAGACTCTACTTAGAAACTTCCAGAACAATTGGCTGATAATCAGTTCCTGCTGCAGCTGGCTGTTCTCAGGGCAGACAAGAGCATCTCAGCTGCACGGAGGTGAGGAAACTGAATGCAGGTGGAATTTTTGGAAGTTCTTTCAAGCTGCAAACTGAGCTGTTGCTGTTTTATCTTGAGTAGGGCAGTGACAGTTTAGTAACTCCTGTATTCATCAATAACTTCAGCAGAGTTATCATTAGGTTTTAATTAGTGCCTGATGCTGGATAAACTTTCCAGCCAAGGTAGTCTTGGGAAGTGTCGGTTTACCAAGAGGTGGTGTAGTGTCTGGGTCACAGGCAAGCCTCTTACCAGGGTTGATATTTTAAAGGTATGTTTTCTTTTCTCCTGCAAAAGGATGATGAAAGGGAAAAGTAGTTCTTAGAGATGATAAGAGATGCTTGTTTTAGAAGAAATTTACACTGCAGATTTTGACTGACATGGTTTGGAAAGCCCCCCAAGGGTATGTCTTCAGCGTAAGCTCACACAGACATGAGTAAGCTAGCTTTGGGTCTGGAGCAGTAAAGCTGAGGAATGAGAGCTCAGAGGACCATAAAGCCCTTTCTGGAATTTGGATGGGTTCTTGGTTTGTTAGTCTTTGCTGCCTTCAAGTTCAGCTAACATGTCAGTGCCTAACAGGGAATTCGGTTTTGAATCTAAGTGTGTAAGTCTCTGTTATTTTTCACTGGGATGTACTCTTTTATCTGCATAGTGCTTGCCAGACAGGCTGCACTGGTATTGTTTGTCAGGCTGGATGATGTCAGGTCATATAAACAGGCTATTAGAGGATGTTTATCTGTTTCATTAAGCTAGTGGAAACAGAGAAGCAAAGAGTACACACACGTTCACTAATACTTTTATTTAGTGGAAATACTAATGACAGCTTCTTTCACTGCTAGTTTGGAGTATGGGCTGGTTTTAGTTGCTCAGGAAATAGCCATTAAAAACACCAGATAACTCCAGTGGGAATCAGGATGGTTGCTGCTTACCTGCAGTAGCTATTACCATTTCTTTTTCAGTACATTTCCTCACACTGCACTGGTTTTTACTGCAGTCATAGTGTCATTGTTCTGATTTTTGCATATTGATGCTCTTCAGATTGCCTTCTTACCTTGTGGTAACTTTGTGTACTTGCTGAAGAGACTTCTGTGGATTTTTCCTCTACCAACAAAAAGAGAGAAGCTTCCTGTGGTGGAGTCTTTGCCCTTTGCAGTTCCTACCCTGAATTGTATCAAGAGAAGCCTAGGAGGGTTCATTGTTGTGGATTTGGTGATAAGAATAAGAAGTTCTGACACTATATAAGCAAATGAATCAATATCAGGACCTGTTGTCTGAACAAACTCAAGTGTGATGGTTGGACACGACACGTGACATTAAACTCCTGATCTCCAGGGTATGATGGTGACACACAAAATTCCTGTCAAGAATGGGTTCTTGTAGTATTCTAATATTAACAGATAAGAGTCCCATGGTCCTGTTTAACTTACTAGTCTAAACACAGCTTCTGTCTCTGGCAGATTATTTTAAGTCTTGTTAAAATGTCTTTTCCAATCCTTCTTTTTTTAAGCTGAACATTAAAAGGATAAGGACCTGTTACGAGTTATTACAGCATTGTAAATGTAACAAAAAGTGCAAGTGAGGTATTTTGTGGCCCATGTAAGTTCTAACAATCTCTTGCACGTTCTGAGGTTTTGTTACAGACCTTGCATGAAACCTGCAGACACTGCAGTATATAAGGGAGATCCTGAAATGAGGCATTTGCTTGGGTGATGCCCAAGAACATCTGTTGCCATCTACTCTTCTTTCTCAGCAGCGTCCCTGAGGACCTTCTGCCATCAGCCAGTTTGCTCTTCAGGAACCAGCAGTAGGGATGTAGGCTGCCAGGAACAGAGAGCTGAAAGAGGAGAGTGCTTAGAAACGTGTTGAAATGCAGAGAGGGAGAAGTACTGATCCTTTTTAGCAACTTTGGAACTTTTGCTGTACTGTGAGATTGCTCTTCTTGCATCTTTATTCCTTAAGGTATTTTAGTCTTACGAGCTCAAAGGCATTTAGAAGTTC